AGTGTTAGATCTAAATCAGTTTCTCCCTCCTGGTCTTCTCTTAATGTAGCAGAAAATATTGATGGGAAAAATACTGCGTACCCTAATAGGAGGAGAGAGGACCAATTTATATAGGGGTGTCTTTAGATCTGGTACGTCCATCAAATATCCAGATTAATGGCTTAGATTTGTTTGACTATTAAATAAAGGCCAGCCCAATAGGATAATTAATTGTGAGCCCAATGCTTTCGGGCCACATATTCTTACACAAGAACCCTCCCACACTTTTTAGGTACTCAAACGAGAAGGTCAAGTACGATTATTGATTATCTAAAACCGAAGTGATTTTTTTTTTTACTGACATGTGAGGTGGTATCAAGTTTGCCGAGTCAATTAGCGTAGTATTAATTTGAATAAAAATAAACAAATCCCCAAAATTGAATTATGAAACTGTAGTGCAGCAGTGGTGGCTCCTAAACAATAATACCGTAGATCTGCATAGTAGGTAGCAATTTATTTTTCATATTGAATTATGAAACTGTAGTGCAGCAGTGGTGGCTCCTAAACAATAATACCGTAGATCTGCATAGTAGGTAGCAATTTATTTTTCATATTGTTGACGTCTGGATAGTCATAATTATATTATCATTCTTTTATAAAATGTTTGTTATTATTCGATGCAATATTGACTTTCCTGTTATTGTACAAGTACGGGGAAATTTACTTGCATGTTAAATACTCATATTTTAAATGGTATATTGTTTGTGTCTAGCAGTTAGGTATAGGAACTTCTGTTAGATTACAGTTTACTACTAATACACCACTCATGTATTGTACAACCGCTACAATACAATGATAAACTTCTAACGGAAAATTCAACAAAAATATATTTAATGGAATTTTAGCGGAAATTCTGACAAAAATATCCTGTTGGAATGAACTTTTCATTGAAATTGCCGTTGGATTTTGATCCAAAGGTACATTTTCCAACGGAGGTGGAAATAAAAATTTTAACGGAAACTGTATATTTCAACAGTAAAAAACCGTTGGTAAAATAGCCGTTAGAATTATCAAATTCCATCTAAAATTTTAATGGAAAACTAATTTCAACGGAATATTTTTGTTGGAATTATTCCAATGGAAACTATACCAATGGGAATATCAGTTAGAATTTTCGTTGGAATATATTGCGTAGGATTTGTCGCTGGAATATAACAATTTTTTTGTACTGAATGTTGATCAAACAATATGTTTTAAAAAAAAGGTTACAACATTTTCAAATAAATTAATATTAAATAATATAAACTGTTTGCTTATATGAGAAACCCGAGCATCCACAATGCTTTGGGTTCAATCACAAAAAATTATATACCACCTGAGAAATAGACCTATTTTAAAATAATAAATTCTCCAATGCAAATAAAAGTAGACTAGGTCTTGCTGACGTGGCAACAAAAAAAAGAGACCCGGTCTTGAGTTTATTTTAGACCCAAGTACAGACATAGTTTCTTTGCATTGGAGTGAATTTTGTTAATTTTTTACATAATTTTTTCCATATCATCAAAGACTTGAGTTTATTTACATGCCAATAGACAATGCTAGACCGGATCCATTGTAGATGCTCTAATGAGTACATGTTATTATGGGGATTTAAAAAAAATGGATAAGATATATGACCAAATTCATATATTTTATTTATCAGTGATAAAATTATTTAAATTTTTAGAAGTTAAATATAGTAAGTGTTAAATCTTTTTTTATAGATATAGATTTATAACTAATTTATGATAATTTAATTTATGGTAATTTTAACATAGTTATAGATATATTTCAATTTAGTTATCTCATAAAAACTATAACATGCAAGGTTTCCAAAAGCTTCAATTATTAATAGAAAGTACAAATTTCTAAATCTATATATATATAGGGAGTGAATACAATGAGACCAATCTTTAAAATGAGTACATGATACTGAATCTTAACCATTGATTTGTTGTAGATCGACTGCTTGTATTAATATATTAAAATATATAATAATTAAATAATAAAAATATTAATTATGTTATTTAAATAAAATATAGAATAAATAAATTAACTTAAGGCATTGACCGTAGTTGACCTGCCGGCCTCGACCGTTGACCGCCATCGACGAACGTTGGCCGGCCAACACTGCAGTACCCCATTCGTTTTATAAGAATCGTCAGTATTTTATTTAAATGCATTGCATTGCATGGCATTATTTTTATTATTATTTTAATTGCTCAACAAATTTTTAGATTAAGCTTATTATGATTGTTTAGATGTCCTCGTCTATTTAATCTAATAAGTAAAATAATTTTCATAGATGTCCTTGTCAACTTGAATTATTTTCAATTTTATTATCTTCGTCAATTGAAAAATCATTCGAAATTATAAGGTGAAACCAGTCTTATTTTTTTGAACCTTTTTCCAAGCAAGCGTTGAGACTTATTCTAGGCCCATTGTGCTAAATATTTTCGGGAAATTTACATGTATACTTAATTGATTGATAAATAATTGTAAAAATACAAAATGAGAAACTTAATTTGCTTACCTAACCTAGCATAAATATTTAGATAAATACTACATACTAAAAGAATTCTCTCTCCTCTCTCATTTATCTACTTTGGGTCAACCGAGATCCCTTCCCCAGAAATAACATGTCTAAGGAACACCACTCGATCCAACCAAAACTCACACTTCTTAAATTTTGCGTATAACTGCTTTACTTTCAATACCTCAAGTACTCTCCTTAAATGTCCGCTATGCTCCTCTTTTGATTTAGAGATATAAGGATATCATCGATGAACACAATCACGATCTTATCTAACAAATCCTTAAATACCCTATTCATTATGTCCATGAAGGCAGCTGGAGCATTTGTCAAGCCAAACGGCATCACCAAAAATTCATAGCGACCGTACCTTGTGCTAAAGGCTGTCTTAGGAATATCTTATTCTTTTACCTTCAACTGGTGATATCCTGAATGCAAATCAATCTTAGAAAATACTGTTGCACCCTGAAGTTGATCGAACAAATCATCGATTCTTAGTAAAGGATACTTCTTCTTGATTGTGACCTTATTCAGCTCTCGGTAGTCAATACACATTCTCAATGTGCCATCCTTCTTACGAACAAACAAAACTGGTGCTCCCCAAGGTGAAAAGCTGGGTCCGATAAATCCTTTGTCCAATAGTTCTTGTAGTTGCACTTTTAACTCCTTCAATTCAGCGGGTGCCATTCTATATGGTGATTTAGATATCGGAGCCGTTGCTGGCTGTAGATCAATCACAAATTCTATTTCACGATCTGGGGGTAATCCTGGGAGATCTTCGGGAAATACTTCAGTGTACTCTCGAACTACTGAAACTTTATCAATTTGGGACTTTCCTCTTTTTCAATACTCATTACACTTACTAGATAGCTTGTACAACCACCATTAATAGTCGTTGTGCCTTCATAGCTGATATTATCGGGAACTAAAGCTTTTTACTAATCCCAATATAAGAAAACGATTCTTCACCAGATGGTTGAAATGATACGATCTTTCTCCGATAAATAATTGTGGCATTGTACTTCAATAGACAATCCGTGCACAATATTACCTCATAGTCATTCATGTCTATTATGATTAGATCAACATATAGT